AACATCAGAGCAGGGTGGATAAAAATGGATTATTTTTTATAAAAACATATTTTTATTTAAATCAGATTTTAGTCTTGTTTAAATCATTTTTTCTTTTTGAAAATAACTGGTTAATGAAATCTGAACGCAAGGTATGTTAAGATCTAATCTTATTATAAACTCTTAAAACATTTAAATAAAAATTAAGTATTTTGAATTATTGAAAACTTTGGGTTAAAGTCTGCTTTTCTATATAAAGAAAGAATCTGAGGGGAAACATCTGACTTTTGAGGTCCGCCTTTATAAATATGGCACAATAGGTCAGCCTAATTAGCTTAGGGGATGGTCTCATTTTCAAGAGATTTAGGCAAATAAGAACTTAAGCTTCAGTCACTTTCACTTAGGCATATTTGAAAAATTTTCCCAGGCTGACCTAAAATAATCAGTTTAATTCACTGGCGACAGTTAATCCCTCTGTTTAATAAATCATTTAGTTGTAAATGTGAAACATGTTTTGATAAGAAAAATGTATGTATCCAAAACACTTAAAGGTCGTTTTGTTTAATACAAGTAAAATTTGATATGCTGTTTTGTGTCTTTAATTAAATTCCAGTTACCAGTCGAATGCAGCTTGAAACGAATAATGAACAAAACACTAATTATCTAATAAATAAGCAATGTATCATTCACTCACTATATTCTAACACAGTGTTTTTCAGCTAGTGGTACGAGTACCCTTGGGGTACTTGAGAGAAGTCTGGGGGGTACGTCAACACAATTGGCATTGGGAGAAAACTGAATTTTTGTTTTTTAAGTTTTACAGTACTTTATTATTTTTGTACTTTTTACACCCACAAATTTCATTGCCTGCCCACTACGATTAAGTTGTTTAAACAAATGTGTTGCAATGGTAGAAAAAAATTGTGCATGCCTGAAAACTGTAGGTACTGGGGGTACTTTTTTTTAAAGGGGTACTTTATAAAAAAAGGTGGAGAAACACTGTTCTAACATACTAAAAATGTACAATTAATAAGAATCTGAAAATATTAAACCAGATAATTACTAGGATAAATGTATATTCAGAAGAACCTCAAAGTTGCAAGCACCTTGGGAATGGAGATTGTTCGTAACTCTGAAATGCTTGTAACTCTGAACAAAACCTTAAGGTTATTTTACACGTTTACAGCTGAACATTGACTTAATACAGCTTTGACGCTTTAGTATGTTGAAGGAAAATGCTGCTTTTAATCATCTTAATTTAAATGAAATAAGCCCAGAAACCATTTCCATACCTTGTCAAATCTTTTTTTAAAACTTTCTCTTTATTTTTGTAGTAACTTAGGGTGTGTCTAGACTACAGGGTTTTGTCGACAAAAGTGGACTTTTGTCGACAAAACTATACCTGCGTCCACACACTGTCTTTGAGTTATGTCGACATAACGTCGACAAAACTCAGCAGTTTTGTCAACGTATGTAAACCTCATTCTACGAGGAATAACGCCTTTTATCGACAGAGTTCTGTCGATAGAAGGCATTATTGCATCTACACTGTCCTTTGCGTCTACACTGTTATGTCAACAAAACGACTTGCTTTGTCATCAGAACTGGATGTAGTCTAGATGCTCTTTGTCGACAGAAGCTTTGTCGACAGAATCTGTCGACAAAACTTCTGTCGACAAAAGTCTGTAGTCTAGACGTACCCTCACATTTAACATACTCTACTGTATTCACTTTTTTCCTCCTCTGCTGCTGCCTGAGTGTGAATTTCTGATTCCAAATAAAGTTTGTGGTTGGCAAGCCAGTTCATAATTTTGGTGTCTATAACTCTGAGGTTTACTGTGGTTATAGTGTACCTTACTAGGTAACAAAAAGATTGGGTCAATCTGGTGCAAAGGGTCAATTTAGTTGTAAACCAATGTGGTTTAATGGTTATATCAACTAATAAGAATACAACTTTCCTTAGAAAAAAACTGAAGTATAAATGGAAGAGTTGATTAGAATCAGTGATCTAAATCAAGACTTTCCACTTGGTGATTTAAATCATGATTTAAATCAATCCATCTTGCTTCAGAGAAATCTAAACAAGACAAGGAAATGGTCAACAGGATGGCAGATTAAATTCAAGGTTGATCAGTGCAAGGTAATTGAAGGAACATTGAGGGGGAGGAAAGAAATTACTTAGCTATACCATGCAGGGATCTGAACTGACATATCAATTCAAGAATGGAACCCAGGTATTATGGACAGCTCAGTGAAACCTCTGTTCTGTGTACAAATGAGAGCCAAAAAAAGCAAACAAGATGTTGGATTATATATGGAATGGGATGGAGAATAATGGAGAGACTATCATAATACTTTTATCTAAATTGATGGTACAGCCTCCCCTGGATATTTATTGTGCCTCATGCTGATTGCCCCCTGGCAGAAAGGATATTGCAGAACTGGTGTGGGTTTGGCAAAGATTGAGGAGAAAGATCAAGGATCCGGAAAAATGCCTATGTTAGTAGAGATTGAAAAGACTGTTTGCCTTAGAAAGGAGGCACATTAGAGGAGAGAGGTAGATTGGTAGCTTTTTTTTCTCGTTGTCTCATAATACACGAACTGGGGGACAGTCAATTAAATGTGAAGAGTTGGAAAAGTCAAAACTTCTGTGTTTTATTGGATGGTTCCATGGCCAAGCTGGATAACAGATGTTACATTCATGTCTGGGCTGATATACTTCTCACCAAAAGTCACATTTTGGCTAGATCTGCATTTTTGTTTTTTCGTAAGTCTGTGTGTGGATGATGAATATTTTTTCTGTCTCTCTTGAGATCTACATATCAGGCTCTTGGGGTTGTTACCAAAGTTTTCTTTTTTCCATAAGTTAGTGGCTTGTTTACATAGAAATGGCATGTTATATTTTAATGAGTGAACTAAAACTAAGACTCCCCCAACTCCTCAAAAAAAATTGGTTGACAGCGGTTCTGACTTTTTTGTATTGGTGGCCCCTTTCACACAGCAAGCTTCTGAATGTACCCCTACACTGAATACATTAAAAACACAAATTTTATAGTAAACACTACAAATGCTAGAGGCAAAGTGAGATTTGGAGGTAGAGACTGGCAGCTTGCAACCCCTCATGTAATAACCTTATAAAAGGGGGAGGCAGAGAAAGATAGTATGTGTGTGAGATGCACAGCATCAACTACAGTTTACAGTTTTCTGCATCTAATGAAAAGGTGCTGCACTTCACAGATGCCTTGGTTTGAAATTTGTTAATATTATGATTATGTATTTTTTAGCTGACATAGCAGTTGATTGTGCCCTGTGGGATTGAAAATATCCCTGCTGTGGGTGAATAAATGGAAATATATTATGTGTTTACATTCTGCTTCTATGGAAAATATAGCAAGAGCGTAAATCACTTAAATTTTTAAAACTTAGCTCTGAGACAGTCCAAAAAAAAGTTGGGGGTGGGAAAGATTAATGAAAAGGGCTAGAATAAAACGTACCAGCCTTATGGGTCAGTTCAGTGTCCCCCTGTCCTCCCAGGCACAGTGCCATGTACTTTGTTGTCAGATGGGAGGCAGGGTTCCCCAGGGAGACAGTCAAAGGAAGAAAAAAGTGTGATCTCGGCTGGTTACGTTGTCGTCAGACTGGGAATATGAAACTCTGTTCTTTGGTCTCTTGGGAAAACACTGAGAAAAGAGCAGGGCTGGACCAAGCGTAATCTTTCCTCGTTAGAGGAGTTGGAGAGAGAGTTTAGTAGTGTAATTTCTAGGGGATGTGCTTGTTGTCTGATGGATAATTGCGATTTCATAGAGAAGTTGCAAAGGCTTAAGGCCCTTTACATAAAGGAAGGATGATGGCGAAAAGAAACCCAGCTCACCATTATATTACTGCTAGCAAGGAAAAACCACAACAAACCCAAACCTGGTTCAGTAAAAAGTGTTGTGTGAAAAAGTTCCGGTTGGAGAAACACAGACTCTTGCAGTTTTCAGATCAGGACTGTACGTTGTGATGAAGAATATTTGACAACCCTAGACTCTCCAACCTGGGTTAAGTTCTGCATGCTATTTGATTGATGCTTAGTGGTAGAGTGCCTCTAAAGCAGGAGTGGAGAACCTCAGACCCTGAGGATCAGCATTGGGGAGCCCTCGCTGATGCTTCAGCTCCCCTGCCTACCTGCCTGCTGAGCTGGAGCACGCAAAATCTACAAGCCTGGACCTCCCTAGACTCTGGTGTGCGAGAGGAATGTGGGGAGTGTCTTTCTCCTTTTCGGTCAGGGGCTTCTTGTTTTGCTTCTCACTTGTGTGCAGCCCCCGACTGATTTTTTTCCATGGGTCAGCAGCCCCAGGCCCAAAAAAGGTTCCCCACCCCTGCTCTAAAGCCTAGTATGTACTGGAAAAGATTTGCTGCTAGTGGACTTCCTGTGTAAACACATCTTCTACCTGTGAAAATATGCTTAGGCTGGTATAACTTATACCAGTTACCTGAAATAATTAAACTATGCTGTCAGAATAATTCTTCATTGGCATAACTGTCTCCACTAGGGCTATTTTTAATTCTAAAAATGTTTAAAACAAGCCCACGTCTCTAATGGATATTATCCTGGCAAAAGTTCCTAGTGTACATCTGGCCTAAGAAGTGAAGTGTGATTTCTTATTAAAACTGCTCATCATCCCATCTACATGTTTTGTTAGTTTTTAAAGTGCTACCAGACTATTTGTTGTTTTTTTAAGTTTATCCTATGCAGACTAACTCGGCTACCCCCTGAAGTTATTAAAACTTCTGTCAGCAATGGGCTTTTCAGGGTGGCCTTTCCAAGTGTTTGTGAATTTGTCAACAGAGAGATTAGCCAGCCAGGTGAGGGCACTATGGTATTCAATACCTTTCTCTTTTAGATGGGATGAGAATGGTGCAGATGCCACCTTCAGCCATTAACAAAAGGACATTTCTCGGGGGAGGGGGGTAGTGCCAGTTGAATACTGCAGGCTGTAGCATTGGACTGATTCTTTCCCTCCTGTGTCTGTCTGCAGGAAGCTGGGGACAACAACCAGTTCTGCTGGAGGAACCTGTTCTCTTGTATTAACCTGCTGAGGGTTCTGAACAAGCTGACCAAGTGGAAACATTCTAGGACCATGGTGAGCCACGGTCTGGGGGGCCTTGCCCCTGGTCACAGAGATCCTGCCATATATTTAATGGCGTTTAAATGAGAGCGAAGATACTGCACTATGTCTGCCCATCCTCCAAGTAGCAAGGGACAGCCTTCTGTGCCCAAGAGCTTAATATCAGATTAGGGTGGTGAAGCTGTTTCTCTCCCCAGATTTTGCCCTTGGGGGGGTGGAACCCCCCATTTAATTAGAATGTGAGCTGTTAACACTAGAAGAAACTGGGAGATCGTGGCTAGAGTGTTATGTACAGCTCTGTTTGGATGGAAAGGGCAGGAACGAACCAATATGCAGCTGGCAACATGAACGAGCCATTGGAGCAGGAAGCTGGCAGCAAACATGGGCTATAGGGGAGCGAAGAAGTCTGCAGTCACTCTCTGGGAGACACAGTTGGTGCTATGGAATTAAGTAGTCTTCCATTACTCCCAGGGAGGAGGGAGTTTGGACTGGTTAATCTAGTGGGGGGAGGGGGGGGGAGGGGAGGAGGGCACCAGAAGAGAGAAGGGGGAGCCCAGACAAAAGTTACTAGGAATAGGGTTCCTGGAATGGAATCTGGAATAGAGGGCTGGCTCAGGTTTCCCTACCGGTCACTAGAGGTAGCGGCACAGACTGGGCCATGGTGCAGAAGTCTGCCTGGGACAGTTGTCCAATAGGACCTTTTTTATCCCAGAAAAGGAGAATTGTAGTGACCTGCCTGGAGAGGGCCAAGCCACGAAGAGGAAGGATTCTGAGTTGCAGAGCAAGAGAGGGAGAGGTGGCAACGCACATGAAGCAGCAGCAGAAGAGGGTGTAGGACCTGGAATGTGCCAATCCCCAGAGAGGCCAAGGGGAGGTGCTTGAGAGGTGGGCAGGATCCTGTGGCAGTCTCTTTGAGGAGAAGCAGATGAGGAGAGAGAGGAGCAGAGTTTAGTAGGGTTATAGTGCCCTCCAAAGGGTCTGCAGTGTGACAGTGAGCCCCAGTGAGTGCTGCTGTGAGGCTCTGTGCTGGCCAGTTGTTCTAAATACTCGAGATCTGCTGTGCTCCTCTGTTTTCTTCTACCACATTGGCTCACATGAAGGCTATATCAACCTAGGATCTGGTTCCCTTACAGAAATCCTCCTTTGCAAAAGGATTCTTAGAAAAGTTTATTCCCCACCCTCCGTAGCTTCCCCTCGCAGTGGAACATCCCTTAGGGATGTGCGTTTTTTCATGCTTGCCACCCGGGTATCAGAGCACTCGCAGTGGAACATCCCTTAGGGATGTGCGTTTTTTCTGTGTTTTGTATCATACTTGCCACCCGGGTATCAGAGCGGGAACGAGCCTGAGAATAAATCATAGAAACATAGAACACTAGAACTGGAAGGGATCTCAAGAGGTCATCAAGTCCAGTCCTCTGCACTCACGGCAGGACCAAGCACTGTCTAGATCATCCCTGACAGGTGTCTGTCCAACCTGTTCTTAAATATCTCCAGTGATGGAGATTCCACAACCTCCCTAGGCAATTTATTCCAGTGTTTAACCACCCTGACAGGCAGGAAGTTTTTCCTAATGTCCAACCTAAACCTCCCTTGCTGCAATTTAAGCCCATTGCTTCTTGTCCTGTCCTCAGAGGCCAAGGAGAACAATTTCCCCCCTTCTTCGTGTGGCACCCTTTTAGATACCTGGAAACCGCTCTCATGTACATAAACTGACATTTTTGTTGATGATTTGGTAGATGCTGGTGGTTTTTAAATCTGCCCCCATCCTGAAACGCGCTCTGAAAGTGAAACAGGCCATGATGCAGCTTTACGTGCTGAAGCTCTTGAAGATCCAGACCAAGTACCTTGGGCGCCAGTGGAGAAAGAGCAACATGAAAACGATGTCTGCCATTTACCAGAAAGTGCGGCACCGCATGAACGATGACTGGGCTTATGGCAACGGTGAGTGTTACCGGGAGAGAGCGCCTTGTCTGGGGTCTTGGGTGAAGCTAGCGTGCTTTTAGTTTGACCTGCTGCTCCCTCTGGATCCTACAAAATTGATCTGGCTGTGGACTGCCCTGGCAGCTGTTCAGAAGCTGTAGGGCCTGTCACGGACTCACAGGTCAGGCCCACACTTGGCCCATCAGTCCCTGGGCGGAACCCCTTTTCAGTGTAACAGCCCCACTCTAGTGCGATGGTCCCTTCTCGGGGAGTTCACTCTCTCCTGGGGGTCTGCCCCTCCGCCTCCAGGACAGTGCCTCTCTGGACTTTCAGCACGCCTGTCTCTGCCGTGAGTCCCCTTGGGGGGGGCGGGGGTCTATTCCCTCTGGACATCCCAGGGCTTCCGCTCCCAGAGGGAATAATGCAACCCTGTTCTCTAGACCAGAGCAACTCTCAGCCAGCACAAAACAGGAAGGTTTATTGAGCTTGGAAAGTAGCAAAGGATCCCTCAGGCCTGTAGGCCTGGCCCCCCTCAGCCCTTACGTCAGTCTCCCCTGCAGCAAGGTGGGCTCTGCCTGCTCTCTTACTGTTGAGACTCCAAGATCCCCTATAGCTGCCTGAGATGACACCAAATGAAATTAATGGGTAGCAGGTTTAAAACTAATAAAAGAAAGTTCTTCTTCACACAGCGTATAGTCAACCTGTGGAACTCCTTGCCAGAGGAGGCTGTGAAGGCTAGGACTATAACAGAGTTCAAAGAGAAGCTAGATAATTTCATGGAGGTTAGGCCCATAAAAGGCTATTAGCCAGGGGATAGAAATGGTGTCCCTGGCCTCTGTTTGTCAGAGGCTGGAGAAGGATGGCAGGAGACAAATCGCTTGATGATCATTGTCTTCTGTTCACCCTCTCTGGGGCACCTGGTGCTGGCCACTGTTGGCAGACAGGCTACTGGGCTAGATGGACCTTTGGTCTGACCCAGTACGGCCGTTCTTATGTTCTTATGTCTCTCCCCTGTCGATTGTCTTCTATCCAGGTAAAAAGGGTGATCGGGGCCCCTCTCTTTTCTGCCTCCTCTCTTCTCCCCGGCTGAAACCAGCCGGACAGGTCTCCAAGGAGGTCTTTTCTCTGCAGCCCACTGTCCTCCCTCTGGCCAGCACAAGCTGTGCCCTCTGAGTTGGATCTCCTGGGCACCAGGTCACCAGTCACTGGAGTCTTCAGTTCTGTGCTACTCCCTGTAACAGCAAACTCCCTCTCCCCTTACTACATTAAACCAGTAACTCCCAGGGATACTGTGTGCCCTCCCTTCTGCATGGAACTCCCTTTTGAACCACCCAAAACTCCCACACTTCCTTTCAGGGCCATGCCTGATGTGCTTAAGATAGCACCACGTATCCACTCAGATCAAACTAAGAGCAGTGGCTCTTAGTTTCAGCACTACCTCAACTCGGCCTCCATTTGCACTTAGTACTTTGCAAATGTAAAAATTGCAGGTGCAGCTGAGATCATTGTATTCACCAAGTAACTGGCCGTGTCTGTAACCGTATCCAGTCTGCGGGTATAAACGTAGTCAGTGTGTGAAAATCTTAACTAGCAGGGCCTGTAGGTTAGGCCTTTGAAATAAACATACGGGCTACTACAGGCTACAATTTACAAGCTTGTGTTTCAGTCTGTGGTCTGCATAGATGCCACCCCAGTGATACAGTTTCTTTTTGACCCCCATATTTTTTACAATGACAGCTGTGAGGAAGATTCTGACTAATACAATGATGCATGAACCTGTGGAATGCAGCTGACTACATATACACTCAGTGCCCATACTGTGTGGTTAATTCAGTACAGTATTCTGAATCTCAGGCTTGGGTGAAGGGGAAAAAGGATCTACACACACTTCTTTGCATTGACAGCTTGGCCTTAAAACTTGTATTGTATCCATGCTATTTAAAGCACCCAATGAGGATTAACCCAATCATAGAATCCTAAGTCTGGAAAGAGACCTCAGGAGGTCATTGAGTCCAACCCACTGCCCAAAGCAGGACCGGCCCCAACGAAATCATCCCAGCCAGGGTTTTGTCAAGCCGGGACTTAAAAACCTCTAAGGATGGAGATTCCACCACCTCCCTAGGGAACCCATCCCAGTGCTTCCCCACCCTCCTAGGGAAACAGTTTTTCCTAATGTCCAACCTAGACCTCCCCCATTGTAACTTGAGACCATTGCTCCTTGTTCTGCCATCTGCCACCACTGAGAACAGTCTCTCTCCATCCTCTTTGGAACCTCCCTTCAGGGAGTTGAAGACTGCTATCAAATCCCCCCTCACTATTCTCTTCTGCAGACTAAATAAGACCAGATCCCTCAGCCTCTCCTTGTAAGTCATGTGCTCCAGCCCCCTAATCATTTTGGTTGCCCTCTGCTGGACCCTCTCCAATGCATCCATGTCCGTTCTGTAGTGGGGGACCTAGAACTGGACACAATACTGCAGATGTGGCCTCACCAGTGCTGAATAAAGGGGAACAATCACTTCTCTAGATCTGCTGGAAATGCTGCTCCTAATGCACCCTAATATGCCATTAACCTTCTTGGATACAAAGGCACACTAAGAACATAAGAATGGCCATAGTGGGTCAGACCAAAGGTCCATCCAGACCAGTACCCTGTCTGTCGACAGCGGCCAATGTCAGGTATCCCAGAGGGAGTGAATCAAACAGGTAATGATCAAGCGATCTCTCTCCTGCCATCCATCTCCACCTCTGACAGAGGCCAGGGACACCATTCCTTACCCATACCGGCTAATAGCCATTTATGGACTTACCCTCCATGAATTTATCTAGTTCTCTTTCAAACCCTGTTATAATCCTAGCCTTCACAACCTCCTCAGGCAAGGAGCTCCACAGATTGACTATGCGCTGTGTGAAGAAGAATTTCCTTTTATTTGTTTTAAACCTGCTATCCACTGTTGACTCATATCCAGCTTCTCATCCACTGTAATCTCAGGTCTTTTTCTGCAGAACTGCTACTTAACCAGCTGGCCAGGTGAAACTGAAACTTTCCAAGGAATTCATATTGATGGGACGCTTCATCAAAACCCAATATTTAAGTTTTATGGGGGAGAGTATTAAATGGTTTATTAGTTATTTAAGCCTTCACGCTTTGCTTTTGAGAGCCAGAGCATAAGTGTTGTGCCGATTTAGGAGAACCAAAGGTAAAATTGATTAGTCTAGTTCCACTGTAGAGTTTAGTGAAATCCAAAAAGGAATCATATGGCACAGAAGTTTGACACTCTTTTATTTGGTTTTGACATGTGTCCTTTTTGGTTAATTGGCATAAAACTTTTCCTCTGCTTGCTCTTTGAAAAAAAAATCCAGTAGTCCTGTTGCACCTTAGAGCAGTGGTTCCCAGCCTGAGGTGGTTAGACCTTCAGTCTGTGGAAAGTTTAGGAAAGGCAAAGAAAAGTACGGATCAGGCCCACTGCAGGACTGGGACTTTCTGCCAGGCGATTCTCACCTGGGGCTCATCGTTCGTGATCAGCAACATACACGCTGCCTCCGACCCTTGGGGTGGGATCTTAATATCCCTGGAGGCACCATCCCTCCTCCCGCTGTCAGATGCGCTGCCATTTTCACTCCAACCCTCTCGTGCTTCCAGTCCCATGGTGGGCCTGATCCTTACTTTTCTTTTCTTTTTTTTCTCCTCCAAGGCTCCGTGCCCAGCCAAGGGTAGAATGCCGGGGCAGGCGCTGCCTTTAGCCACGAGATCCCCCTTGCCATATGCTCCATGGATGGGCAGGAGATGGAGAGGGCAGGAGCTGAGGAAGCATCGTGGTCCAGGGGATCTTTGGGGGGGTCCGTAAAATTTTAACAAATTGAAAAGGGGTCCATATGCTCAAAAAGGGTGGGAACCACTGCCTTAGAGACTAACAAATATCGATCGATCGATAGATAGTATCATGAGTTTTTTCATGGGCAAAACTCACTCTGAGTGAAGACAGTAGCAGGGATTCTTTTTATGGCAGATGACATTCAGTTATTTCACACTTTTGGTTGTCCTAGGAGTTTTAGGCACTCGACACTCAAAACCAGAAGAAGCAGAGCACCTACAAAGTTTTTCTTAAAGTGAGGCCTTGCCTTTTTTTTAAACTAATTTACCAGCAACCATTAAGAATAATGAGCTGAAAACATGGATGTGAAGGATGATTTTTACAACTAGTGCAAGGAAAAGCATATGAGACTAGAGAGAGGATGATTTGTAGGAGATTGTGGTTGGATCTTTCTGTAGCATCCCATTATGCTCAGTGCTGCACTTTGGCTCTAGGGTCCTCTCTTTGCCCCACATTTTGCTCTCCTCTTGCACCATGGTTTACCCTTGCTTAAGAATCTAACAGAAAAGGGCATTTTGCCAGAACCCCAAATTCCCCCCAGCAAAAGAGATTTAAGCAACAACATAACATGATACTTAACATGGATCAGTGCTCAGCAAACATCACATCTAGTTTTGGACAGTCTATCAGACTGTTTTGTAAATGCTCGGGCTTTCAGAAGCCAGCTGAGGATTTATTTTTCCAAAATAGTGTTTGTTTTTAACCTTTGTATGTCTGAGCTGCCATTGAGCTCACTAAGGGTGCATCTACACAGCACCATTATTTCGAGATAACTAGCGTTATTTTGAAATAACAATGCAAGCGTCTACACAGCCATTCCGTTAATAATTTCGAAAAGACAGTTTATTCCGAAATCTGAAAACCTCATTCTGCGAGGAATAATGCCTCTTCTGAAATAGCTATTTCGAAATAAGGCGTGTGTAGACTCTCCACTGCTGCTATTTCTAAATAGAACGGCCCTGGTGAGGTGCTAAGTTAGTCATCCCCAGTGCCTCCTGGGGCTCTAAATTGAGATAGCACGTCTACATTAGGGAAGCCTGCCTTGGACTAATTTTGAAGCTTCCCTGCAGTGTAGACATGCTATTTCGGAATAACTATTCCAGAATAGCTTATTTCGGAATAGCTGTGCAGAGTAGACGTACCCTAAATCAAACTGTTCCACCTTAAACCAGTGAATTTGTAGCCATGCAGCTAAAATGGAGCTTTATGCTGTATCTTTCTAGTGCCAGTGACTGTGTCATATAAAAATGGTCTCTAGAGGGATTGAATTACACTACTGAATGATACTATATGGCTTTTACATCCAACCAATAATTCTCCCATAAACCCTCTACTTCAGGGAACCCTTCTACTCAACTTTGGAAGCCCTGGGGGCCACAGTGATACTCACAGCACATGCCGAGGGCCGCAACTTAAGTGCGGTTGCATATCCATGCAAATATATATGCAAATAGCTTCTTTCACACTGACGGGCACATGAATACAAAGATTAAGGCAAGACTACACAACACGTAGGTCCCATTTAAGTCAGTTCTGCTGATATTACTAAAACGTAATATTTACCCGATTTCCACCCACGTGACAGCACTTTTAATGAGCAATGACAGTCCAGGAATTTAACTACTAAAACCTATGTCAACAGAAGACCATTATATTGACTCGCCATTGTGGAGCGTGTTCCCAGTGGAGGCCATGTTCAAAGGATCCCACCTGTGAGCCTGTGTTGAGCCTAAATCCAAACCGCATCGCAGGCCGCAAACAAACGGGCACGGGCCACATGCGGACTGTGGGCCACGTGTTGAGTACCCCTGCTCTACTTCCTTCTCAGTAACAACCCCTGATGTTTCATGACTTATAAATTTGCCTTATTTTCACCATTCGTGTTAAATTTTCCGTGCTTCATCTCTCTCAGCTGAGGGTTTGTTTTTAGATTTGTGTTGGGTTTTTTTTTAGAATTTTTCAGCAAAAATGGTGTGTGTGGGGGGGGGTCCTATAGAAAAATATTATGTGCTTATTTAATTAAAAGTGTATCATGATGCATACAGCTGTGGGAAGAATAATGGTTGTACAGGTAACCATAATTCTGGCACTACCTAATTTTTTGAATGCTTTACAACCATAGCATTATATCGTGTAAGAAGTATGTATCCATAGTGTGAACTTGTTTTGAATAATCTCTTGTGGCAACTGAGGTAAATCTGACCAGCATGGGGCTATAACTGTACGATGAGAGCACAATCCTTTACTCCTGTTAAAACCTCATCCCATGTCAGAGAAAAGGAATGGTTTTCTCATAATCTTGTGGGGGTGTTGTTTCTTCTCAAATGCAGATATTGACGCCAGACCATGGGATTTCCAAGCTGAAGAATGCACACTCAGAGCCAACATTGAAGCCTTTAATAGTCGGAGATATGATAAATCCCAGGACTCAGAGTTTGCACCGGTGGACAACTGCTTGCAGAGTGTGTTGGGGCAACGGCTGGAGCTCCCTGAGGATTTCCATTACTCCTATGAACTCTGGCTAGAGAGAGAGGTGTTTTCACAGCCAATCCGCTGGGAAGAGTTGCTACATTATCAGTGACAATGACAGGACTATGTGAACCAAATACCATCTCTGTAAGGCTCTGAGATGCCATTTCCCGGGGAAAGGAAAGGAGAAGTCGCTCTCTGACTGGGATGGTCTAAAGTCTGGCAAAAAAAAAAAAAAAAACCTCCCTTGTAAGAATTGCCTTTAAATACTCAAGACACCCTAAGCTGTGGTACCTATCTTTTAGAGATCTTCCCATTCCTCCAATTTTTAGAGACCATCTAATATAAATAGACCTGCACGTAGAGGTTGAGGGCCAAATTCTGATGTTACACTGGTGACACTCTAGAGCAGAGGTGGGCAATAACACAGCAGCGGTTCTCCAGGGTTAACCCCTGGTGGGCCACTGCTATATTTACCTGCATGGCCGCAGGTGTCGGCAATTGCAGCTCCCGTTAGCTGTGGATCGCTGTTCCCGGCCAATGGGAGCAGCATAGACTCAGACACCACTTCCTGCATCTCCCATTGGCCAGGAATGGCAATCCGCGGCCAACAGGAGCTGTGATCGCCAGTACCTGCAGCCGTGCAAGTAAATATACCAGAGGGAGCCCGCCAGGAGCTAACGCAGACAAACCGGATCCAGCTCGCGGACCGGTATTTGATCACCCCGATCTAGAATAAACTCGACTGGCATCAGTGGAGATTACTCTAGGTTCATACCAGTGTAATGGAAATCAGAATCTGGCTCTGAATATCCTAACTTTAGTGTTCATGTATGATAAGCTTGCTGTTTCTATACTGTGTTTCTATAAGTTTCTATACTGTCAAAGGTGTTTCTTTGCTTTGTCTGACTGCCTTGCACTGTACACACTTCAGGAAACTTTCCTTTATTTAACTTAGAACATCACGTGAGAGATGATTAAACATCCTGCTACCACCTAGATTAGACAGCCTAATACCTCAAAGATTGAAAGTAAACAATAACTGGGGGTATTTTTACCATTTCAGCAGAAGCTACAGCTTGAAAAAGCCAATGGAAATGAAACACCTTTTGCCTCTAGAGATGGAACCTCACTGCTGCGTCCTGTGTTGTACAACCAACGACTTTGGTTTCCAGAACTGGCAGTTTTGTATCTTTGACTACACCTGTGAATCCAACACTTTCTTCCATCACTACGTTCATTTAACTTTGTATGAAAGCAAAATTAACAGTAAGATATCTGTGATATCTACTCGTAGCTGTAGAGGAGTTAGATAGTCCGAGGTCTCTTCATAATATTTCAAAGAGTGTAGACTTCTTGACTAAACATTACCAGCCTAAACTGCAAAAGGTGCCATGTAAGAGATTCTTGTGTAGTATAGGTTCCTGGTTAATTTACAATGATTTTTTCCTTCTCTTTCTAGAACTGTGCAGAGAAGATACGGCAGCAGGGCCATTTTTATGAAGTGCGATTACTGTAACCTGTTAGATTCCAACTTAACTCTTTCCATTGCTTTGTGATACATCTAGCCCTGTAAGTGAAGGAAATGGCAAAGTCATGCTGAAAGTGACCCTTCTGACTTTTTGAGACAAAGGAATTTTAGTGTTGAGGGGCTATTTTTTGTACTCTATGGGAGGCGAGGGGGATAGCATTTACTGAGTAGAGTATAATGAACTTTATTGCCTACAGCTTTGTGGTGGTGTGTGAGAATTTAGGTGAGAGACGGCTACAACTTGGAAAGTTTAGGGCTTAGTATAAATATTCAGGTATAGTCTCCCTTCATTTAAGCCTGTATTGGCTGGGTAAAACAACTGAGAGTTGCTTATGTGATTGAACAAAATAATTTTTCCAGTATATTAAAGTCAACGGCTAAGCCACTAAATGAGATTTGGCTCTTGGCATGGGGTATGCACTATAAAATCCATAACAGTCAGAGCTATATATGACCAGAATGGGTTTGTTGAAAGCAACATTCAAGGAATAGTAGCAGTGCCTAAATGCTGTGAGTTTTCCGGGTAGCGTCCATCAGCATTGAAGAGCCAAAGCCTTAGAACAATGGGTTTTTACCTTTTTGTTTGTTCTTTCTGAACACTGGAATTCAGCTTTTGTACGAACAACAGACGTTAGTATATTGCAGACTAAACTTTATCATTTTAGGCTGCCCTGGTTGCATCTCAAGTGGACGTATGATAAGCCCACAAATTTGTTACGTCAGCATCTGTGATCATTACTACGGAACTAGGCTGAGAATGGTTCTTAATGTGTTTTGTATAATAAAATATTTTTCAAAGAAATGGCAATAGTAAATCTGTACACTTCTTGAATACGTTGTGTGAAAAATAAAGCAGAGTGACTTGTCCATTGTGTGCATTTCCTCAAATTAAAGTGTCAAAAGAAAAGTTCCTAATGTTCTTTGTATAAATTCAAGGCTTGTGCGGTCCTACTCTCAGCACCCTGAACTCTTATCTCTCTGCTTCAGGTCAATGCTGACTGAACCTAACCACTTAAGCCACCATATCAGAAGCTCATATAACTGCACATCCACGAATGTGATCTATGCCATCAAGTGTCAGCCAGAGCTGCACTGGCCTTCTGCTACATTATGAAAGTTTTGGTGGTTTTTTAATGATATTTCTACCAAAACAAAGAAAGGAGCCAAAAATAATAGTTACTTACTGTAGGCGACCTTATACTGTCTGTGCCTTGAAAATAAGAATTCTCCCAATATTAGAGAATGAGATGGAGGCATATTAATAAACTAGAAATTTGCTATGGATCCATTGGTCAGAGTGCTAACCTGGGTCTGCTCGACATCCTTGTGACCTTCTGTGTTCTTCAGTTACTTTTAAAAAGTGGGATAATGGTATTTCTCTACCTCATTTGGGTATTATGAAGATTAATAAAGATAGAGGCGCTCAGATATCATGGGAATAGAGGCCGCGTAAGTACCTCAGGTGAGTGGGAGTAGAAGTGAAATGCATTGCTACATGGCTGAAAGGGTCCTACAGTTCAAACTTAATCCACACTCCATGGTTTCTGTGCCTTCAGCCTATAAGTACTGACTGACTTGTTGGGAGGCTCTTTTTATAGTCTTTCCCATGATCAGCGGGAAGGAAAATGTGCACATTATGTAGCTGGTTGGGCTACTTTGCCTTTGTTGTATTTTCTGTGACTCTAGTTCTGCTTCATTATGTTCTGCTTTGCATTGGATTTAGCAGTAATGCAAGTAACCTACGGGCTTGTATCCTGTACAACATTAGCTAGTATAAAACCTACGGGCTTGTATCCTGTACAACATTAGCTTCGGCGAGATAGTAGTATAAATCTTGAGGCCTAGAATATCTAAACAAATAGGTTTTGTACAAACAAGTGCCCAGGCAAGTTAAAATGTTCCCGAACAGGTTTCTGTGTGTTCATATTTAGAATGTCTGATTTGTGTCCATTAATTCTTTGTCATAGAGACTGTCCAGTTTGGCCAACATACATGGCAGAGGGGCATTGCTGGCACTTGATGGGATAAATCACATTGGTGGATGTGCAGTTATATGAGCTTCTGATATGGTGGCTTAAGTGGTTAGGTCCTATGATGATGATGCTTGTATAGATGTGTGGACAGTTGGCACTGGAGTTGATTGCAGGGGTGGATTCCTGGATGAGTATAATGGAGGTATGCTATGTGGTTGCTGGAAAGAATTTATTTGAGGTTAGAGGGTTGTCTGTAGTTGGGGATTGGCCTGTCCCACAAGGCCTGTGAGAGTAAGGGGTCATTTTCCAGGACAGGTTGTAGGTTGTTAATAATGTGCTAGAGGGGATTAAGTTGGCGGCTGTAGATGATGACCAGTGGGGTTATCACAGAAACCTGCTGGGGAACATTGTAACTTGCCCAGGCACTCACTAATTGATCTAAAAGTGACTATATTATTACAAAGTAATTTAAAAAAGCAACTTGAGAGAGAAGCTGCAGAACTTGGTTTCATTTACAAGTTTGACATCTGGAATCAAGGTCTGAACAAAGACATGAACTGGATGGGCCACTACATTTCACACCCTAATGACACAAAAAGCTAAGCATCGGGTACTTATCATAGAATAATAGGACTGGAAGGGACCTCGAGAGGTCATCGAGTCCAGCCCCCCGCCCTCAAGGCAGGATCAAGCTCCTTCTACACCATCCCTGACAGATTCTCTATTTATTTGTACCCTGGACCCGTTAACTGCATCCAAAGAAGTGGGTTGTGCCCACGAAAGCTCATGATACCATCTACATTTTTTGTTAGTCTCTAAGGTGCTGCAGATCTATTTGTTGTTATTTAAGAGTAAGTTAGACCAGGGGTTGGCAACCTTTCTGAAGTGGTATGCCAAGATTTAACTTATTCATGGATCTGTGTGCTGGGCGGAAGACAGAGCAATGGGGAGCAGAAGCAGGCTCGGTATGGTGATCATATTGTCTGAACCAGCTGCAGCTGGGGAGAATGGTTTAATTTAAATTATGAAACAGATTAAGTGTTTTAACTTTCTCATTTTATTTATCAAACTTCATTTTAAATGAAGTAAAATATTATGTCCAACACAAAAGGTTTCGATGTTTTCTTCATTTATGGCAAGGGTAGGGAACTTTTTTTTGGTCAGGGGTCACTGACCCCAAAAAAATCAGTTGTGGACCACACAAGTGAGAAGCAAAAAAATTCCTCCAAAACCCCCCAACCCTCACTGATGTGGCCCCCAACTGAGACACCTCACTCCTCTGGAACTGCAGCTACATGGGGTGAGGGGAAGGGACAGGGAGGACTAAGGTTCAGGGTTTTCCATAGACCAGATTTACTTTTCTGGGGTTCCAAAGTTAGTTGATTTTTGGACCCCCTTAGGGTTACCAGGTAGCTTCAGAAAAAATACCTGACATGCTTAATTGGGGTGGGAGGTGGGGGAGAGAAGGGACCAGCCGGGATGGGAGCAGGGCTGGCCGGGGCACATGCAGATCCCAGGGCGCTGCCCATCCAGTGCACAGTCCCGGCGAAGCATGAGCGAGTCTGGCTACAGCTCCACAACATGCTTGAACAGCGCTCAGGGGCACAGACAGGGCTTCTCCTCCTCCCCAAGGCATCACTCCTATGTCAGATGCAACCAAAGGCACCCAGCGCCGATTGCACCCCACCTCCCAGCCATTCCTCCCGTCCCCGTCAGGCTTCCGTGGGGCGCTCAGCCGGAAAATCAGAAAATACTGGACATTGCACATGTCTGGTATTTTCTGAATTTTTTTACCAGAGGGCCCAAAAACTGGACTGTAAAGTTGAATACCAGACACCTGGCCACCCTAGACCTTCTTAGGCTCTGGGGTAGTGACAAAAATGGGAGGGGGTTTCAGTGTGCAATTGAGGGCTTCCAGGAGGCTAGGGATGGGTGTGCAGGATCTGGGAGAGAGGTGGGATGCAGAAGAAGGAGAGGTTGAGAGGTCTGGGTGGGAGCAAGGGAGGGTGCAGTGTGTGGCCAGGAGAGAGGGTTCAGGAGCAACAGTGGATGCAGCAGCAAGGTGGGGATAGATGTTTGGCCAGGCCCGGGGGAGGGTGTTTGGCAGGAGGGAGGGTTCAGGAACAAGGGAAGGTGTTGGAGCAAGCTGGGGGTGCAGTGTTTGATCAGGGGGAAGTGAGGGGCTTGGGATTGGGGGAGGTCTGGGCATGAGAGGGGATGCTTACCCGGCTTCCCCCCCCCGCCTCTGCTGCTGGGGCTCCACAGCCCAGAGCTGGCCCCAGAAGGCCCACTGCCGCGGCCATTAGGGTTGCCAAGTGTCCGGTATTGAACTGGACAGTCCGGTATTTGGACTTTGTGTCTGGTAAACCAACTGAGAAAATACTGGACATAGAAATGTCCGGTATTTTCTCATTAAGGAATTTTTTCACTTTTCCTGGGCCTAGCTCGGTGCCTAACAGAAGCCCGCTCGGGACATGTGGCAATTAAAGGGTCCGCAACTGCATTTCGGCCCATCCTCCTGAATCCCTTGTCCCCCAGGTCTCCCTGGTTACTCCCAGGCACTTTTTTGTTTGTTTGTTTTTGCTCTACAAATTTTCTCTGGAGTTTTTTTGGTTTGGTTTGGTTTGGTTTGGTTTGGCGTCCTTGCAGTTTGGGGCCGGCCCTGGAGGCTAGAGGCACTGCTGCCACATGGTCCTGGGATGGCCCTGGATCACGTGCCTGCGGTAGTGATGCCTTTGGGGCCGGCCAAGACTCCATGGCCGCAGCAATGGCACCTCTGATCCCGGCCAAGGCGCCGCTTAGCAGCGGAGAGCTCCCCAGCAGCTGCACGGGGAAGGAGAGGCAGGGCTGAGCTCCCTCCCAGGTGCCTTGCCAGAGGATGCTGTGAAGACTAGGACTTTAACAGAGTTAAAAAAAGAGCTAGATAAATTCATGGAGGTTGAGTCCATCAATGACTATTAGCCATGATGGGTAGGAATGGTGTCACTAGCCTTTGTTTGTCTAGAAATGGATGACAGGAGAGGGATCATGTGATGATTAGCTGTTGTGTTCACTCCCCTTGAGGCATCTGGCATTGGCCATTGTCGGCAGACAGGATACTGAGCAAGATGGACCTTTGGTCTGACCCAGTGTGGCCATTGTTATGTTTTTATGCCACTAAAAATTGGCTTGTGTGTGATAAGTGGCACATATGCCGTAGGTTGTCGACCCCTGAGTTAGACAACATCTGTCAGAGAGGGTTTTATTCATCCAGTGAAAGCAGGGGACTGGACTAGATAATCTCTCGAAGTCTCTCCCAATTCTATAATTCCATGATTCTCATTGAAGGAAATCCAGGAAGCCAAAACACTGTTTGTGGGAATGTTGCTTTCAGTGAATGACTCTGGGGAAGTTGGAAACAATCCCCGAACACCATCAAAACCCAATCCTTTAAGTGCAACACGTACAGTGACTTAAATGATGCTAGCAGTGTGGCTGCCCCAGCTTCAATTGAAGTGAGGCAGGCAACTGGGAGACTAAACATGAAAATGAGCAGCTAGCTGTGGTGGGCAAGACAGGTGCATTAATATAGTTTATTGGCCCACCCTCTGCTGGTGAAAGTGACAAGCTTTCCAGATCTGAAGAGCACTTCTTTGGGTTACCTTTGGGGCCCAGCTTGGGTCTCCAGTACTTTATCAGGGGTCTGGGAGCTGGGGCCTGACTCAGATCACTGAAAACCAAGGATTTTTCCTCATTATTGTAATGAAAACTGGAAGGGGGTTTGCATGATTCCCTGGCGCTGAGGAGGAGCGTGCTGACCAGCCCCTGCACATTAGTTACTGATAGGCGGACCGTACATCGTGGATTTTCTGAGACAGTTCCGATTTTAAATCTTCTGTCCCTTTGTCCCCATAAAGCACTGAAATCTCCCAGAAGTCCCCTGCTCAGTGCTTCTATATTGTGTTGCCTTTTCCCAGTCCAGCGCTAAAAATTTCCCAACTCTGATAAAAAATTCCCAGATTATTTTTTATATATTATAACGGCTATTTTATGTATCGTTAATTCATTGGTTTTATTATTTTTATTTTGATCTATATATAATTATTAACTTGAAATATATGGCAATAATTTTGATGATTACATGATGCTCCCTATAATTAAAATATAATTTTATTAAAGCTGAACTTTTCAGCCAAAAATGACGGTGGGTAAAAGTCACACGACAATGTTAACCAGTTGAGAGCAGTTTTTGATAAATTTCAATCATCCGCAAATTTTTATTCCAAAGGAACGACAAAATGAACGGAAATTTTAATTTCATTGAAAATTTCCCAGGATTTAACAAATTTTCAAGAAAATTCCCAATTTTGACACATTTTACTCAAAAATTCCCAGAATCCCCCCCCCCCCCCCTCTGCCTTTTAAAGGTAGTAAGAGGGCTGGAACAAGTGGGCGTGGCTAATAGGGCTAGGGGCGTGGCCAAGGTTTGATTGATGGTAGGTCCCTTATGTGCCCCCATGTTTTGTGGGGGAAGGGGGGGACATGGCTCAGTCCCTTGCTCTTTATTTCTTGACTCATTCACCTCCCCGCCGAGCTTTCCCGCCCTTTTTCAGGTGGCAGTTGGCAGAAGGAGGAGCGCGCGCGCAAATCATCCCCTCAGCGTCTCCAGGCCAGGGGGCGGGACCCATCGTTTCCCGCCCGCTGCAGGCTGGGAAACGTAAGCATGACGACATCGGGAGGGGGGGGGGGCCGGCGCCGGG